ATGCCATTTTTTGTTTTTGTTGTAAATTATTTGGCACTGGCGACATACCGCTACGTCGTGGAACATCTGCTTGGAAAGCACTGTCAAAAAGACTTCAGCAGCATGAAACAGGCAAAGGTCATCAAGACTGTATGGTGAAATGGTTTGACCTTCGGTCAGGCATAGTAAACCGTACATCTTTTGACCAACTCGAATTGCAGGCTTTTCTGAAAGAAAGAGATTTCTGGAGAAATGTTGTCAAACGCATGGTTGATGTCGTTATTTTCTTGTCCGAAAGAAACTTGGCATTTCGAGGAAGTAATGAAAAGCTCGGCGATCCTTCGAATGGCAACTTTTTGGGACTGTTTGAATTGCTTGCAAAGTATGATACTGTCCTCAGTGAACTTTTACAGAGGATTAAGAAGGCAGAGACACATGTTCAGTACCTCAGTCCACAGATCCAAAACGAGCTGATTCAACTTGTTGCCAGTAACATTCAAGAGGCCAACATAGCGCAGCTTAAAAAAGCAAAATATTATTCAGTTATTTTGGACTGTACTCCCGATGTGTCACATGAAGAACAGCTGTCCATGGTGTTACGCTTTGTTGAATGCAACGGTGAAGATGGTGTCAATATTCGTGAAGCGTTTGTTGGTTTTCTTAATGTTCATGATACAACTGGCGAGGGCTTATTGGAAGCGTTTCTTGAAAAGGCAAACAATTTAGGAATAGACATTGCTGACATGAGAGGCCAAGCTTATGATAACGGCGCAAATATGAGAGGAAAGAATAAAGGAGTTCAAGCCCGCATGCTAGAAATAAATGACCGTGCCTTGTATGTACCATGTGGAGCTCACACTTGGAATCTTGTGATCTCAGACGCGGCAAAGTCATCGAAATATGCCATTGACTTTTTCAGTCTGATTAACAGAATATACGTTATCTTTTCTTCTTCACCTTCACGTTGGGATATACTTCAAGAACATATGCCAATATCTGTTAAAGGGTTATTGGAAACTCATTGGGAGTCGAGAATTGATGCTGTGAAGCCATTGCGTTATCACCTTGAAGAATTGTGCAATGCTTTGTCATCTTTGCGAGAATATGCGCTCGAAAAGAAAGATGGCAATACAGCAACAGAAGCCGGTGCGCTTTTAGACCCTTACCACATGGCCTTTTGTTCTGACTGTGTACACGTGGTGCGATATACTATTTCATGTCAATAAAACCAGCAAATTAATTCAGTCACCAGATGTGTCAATTGACGTACCGCAGGCAGAAGTCGGTGCTACAGAGAAGTTTTTGGAAGACTATCGAAATACAGGATATATCTCTGTGGTCACAAATGCACGTGAAATAGCAGAGCATATGGGTATTGATCAGGTGTTTCCAGAAACCAGGGTGCGACATAAGAAGAGAATGTTTGATTACGAATGTGCTGATGATTTGAGTCGTCTTTCTGCCGAAGAAAAATTCAAATCGCAGTTCTTTCTTGTTCTCACTGATCAGGCCATATCTTCTGTTTTGTCGCGATTTGACCAACTCGTGGAGTGGTATAAGTTGTTTGGATTTCTGTACAACGCTAACAGCCTGAAGCAGTGTCACAGAGAAAAATGAACTGAAGAATCACAGCAAAAATTTTGAAAGAAAAATGGGAGAAATTGATGCCAACGAACTCATAATGGAATTGAATCGTTTTATTTATGTCATCGAGAAAGAGAGAGGACTTGTCACGGCAAACAATTTTTTAACGTACATATACAAGAACAGCCTTCAGGAGATATATCCGAATCTTTGCATTTGCATCAGAATTCTTCTGACCACACCAGTTACTGTCGCTGCTGCTGAAAGGAGCTTCAGCAGAATGAAACTGATCAAGAATTTCCTGCGCTCAACCATGACAGATGACAGGCTTTCGGCGCTTGCAGTTATCTCAATCGAAATAAAGATTGCCAGATCTCTGGACTATGATGCATTGATTAACCAATTTGCGGAGAACAAGGCTCGAAAGAAGCGCTTTGCATAAATACGGAATACATGTACACTGTAGGCCTGTGTACACATAATATGAACCCTGTATATTGTATAAAATAAATACCGCATTCCAGTTTCTGCATTGTAAGGGGCCCCTCCCGGACATATGTTCGGAGGGGGCCACGTTCTTTGTTGCTGCAGCCCTGGGAGGGGGAGATGGCTGGGACTTGGCTCTGGGTGGCTGGAGCAGGGGGTTTCAATCAGCCCATTAGAAAGCCAAGGGCCAGCTGTGAAATCTGCCCCCAGCTCTTGCCTTGTGTTTATCTCTGTGTGCAGGGCTTTTGAAACTGGTAAGAGCTGTGCCCAGCGAGTGCTTCGTTCACAGGTCGGGGTGTTAAATTCATTCCTTATTTGCAAACAATCCCCTTTTTAAAGCCATGCTGAAGTCATCCCCAAATCAAAGTAGCCTTTACAGCACTGCAGAGCAGAGGGTCTGGCTGCTGCCTGGGAACAGGTCTCCCTAGCCAGCCTTTTCCCAACCTGCAATTCCCAGTCAGAGTGGGCCATCCAAATCAACACTCAGTCCTGAGATCCAGCTGCTAGGCTAGAAGCCTTGAGGAGAAGGAGGTGAGGGAGCTACAGCCTGAGCACAAGGTATTTTCACAAACAAGCCCACTGAAATATCATTAATATTCTAACCTATACTGCTGCCCCTTTCCACAGCTGCACCTACTCAGTCCCACTGGGGAATTCGCCTTAGCCCTGTGACTTCCACAGTAGCAAGCTGCACCTACCCCATGCCAGCCTCCAACCACCTTACTCCTAATGCTCTGCAAGGGATGATGTGATCTAGCTCAGTGCTTCTCAAGCTATCTGATGTGGGGGACCGGCTGAAGCCCATGCTACCACGTTTATCTACACTACTGTTGGGACCCATGCGAGCACAGATACGTGTGCCTGCACTACAGTCACACCACCACTTCCAATGAAGTGAAGTGCACTTGCAAAGGTGTGTTCTTAACTGGGGTTAGCTTTAGGCTGTGACCTGAGCTGCTAGCCCAAATTTAAAAATGGAGTTTTGTGTCTTCATTACTATTTTAACTCAAGTTAACTTTCTTTTTCTTTTTTGCAGTGTAGACATACCCCAAGGGCTGGCCTTGCAAAGCATTGAGTGCTCTCAACTCCAGTTAAGTTCAGTGACAGCTAAGGGCTCCCAGCATCTCAACAGGAAGTGTGTGGGGCTTTCCTGGACAAGGGGCTGAGCTAATGGTGGCTTCCTCACAGCCACTCTTTGACTGTTCCATGCCACCTCAGCCACTCCCCCAGCACTCCTTTATACCGCCAAACACTCAGGGTCCTGTGTATGTGAGACAGCCAGAGCCGGCTTTAGGCCGATTCGCCCGATTCCCTGGAATCGGGCCCTGCGCCTTAGGCGCCTTTTAATTTTTTTTATTCACCCCGCCGGCGGTCCGCTCCAGGGTCTTCGGTGGCCCAGCTCCCCTGGCCAGAGCGCCAGCTGGAGTGCGGCAAGCCCTGAGGCCCCGCTCCTCAGCTCCATGACCCCGGCCAGAGCGCCGCAAGCCCGCGGCCCCACTCTCCTGGCTGGAGCTTCAGCTGGAGACTGGGAGCGCCGCCTGGTGAGTACAAGCCCCAGGAATCGGGTCCCGCACTTGCTAAAGCCAGCCCTGGAGACAGCGTAGGGATGCCTATATCAGGGAGCTCTTCTGGCCCCATAGTAGCATAAAGGGGTCTCAGCTGGGGACAGAATCTGCCCCAGTGGGTTTGAACTCTTT